GTTTAGAAAATAACCAGTAGCCACCTGATATAAAAGAAGCAACATGTTGCGTTATAACCGCAAAGTGTTGACGGTGACTGAAATGGTAAGAAAGAAGATGTAATTAGATGGAACTACCAAACTCTTGGCTGGGACTTGCTACATATTGTCTATTTGAGCTTGAAGAGGTTGTATTTCGAATTGGGGCCCAAAAGCTCAGAGAATTCTTATGAAGCGCATGGAATCTTACTGACCGATCAATTATGGAACGGCCTAGTAAATTACAGGTAGGCCAAAAAAGCTAGGCCTATGTTTCTAAAAAAGAGGGGTCTGACTTACTAACTGAGCTCTGGTTGTAAGGTTAATGAATATGCAATAAGTGTGGAGCAGTCTCATTGAATTTGATTAGAATTTGTCTTGGTGTTCAATCAAGCACCCCAAAACTCCATGAACGGGACAGAAAGCGTAGAATTTATTTGTCAAGCATTATTCGCAGGTCATTTCAGCTGTAGCTGTGGCGGCTAATCGGTTGAATGCTTAGTATATTACCCGGCCATGATGCCGATAACGGGGGCACTGGGAATGGAAGATGATGTAGGCGCTGCATGTTGAAAGCAGGGCACTCCGGCCTTCCACCACCGAACGAATAGTGTTGATGGGCTCGAAGTAGCACGGATAACTCCCGCCTGGTTCTTTCCGCTGCTCGACTTCGTAAGATCCGATTTATTGAACTGACGCTTGGTGGCTGTGCGCTTATTCCTGCAACATGGAAAGAGTCGGATAAACGAAAATACTTTGCTGACCGCTGCTCAGAATATGGGAATATTGAAAAAACACGGTTTAGGGAATGTTATTTTCACGCCACTCTTAAAAAACACTGCTGACACTGATTGTCCGGGCGACTTTAGTCTTAATTCCAGATAACGTAGCGCATTATGGTGTCTATGCGTTTATGAATTTTTGATGTACGTGATTCAGAAACACGGAGTGATTAAAATCGCCAGTACATAGAGAAGAAGGTTGTTTCTTGTCGTTATGGTCTTCGTCCTCTCATTCGAAGACTGTGGAGAAAAAAAATCCGAGATCATACAGCAGGATCCTAGTGTAAATGCACTGTAGGAAAGACTGTTCTTTGCTAGTCTCGTCTCGATTGGTAGATAATCCACTCACTGTTTTGTTCCTACTAGGAATATACCTTACTTGCAGACCAGATGTGTAAGTATGGCGAAAGTGACGGGGCACGTCCATCGCCTGTGATATCTTTATTGTTGACTCGGGCAACAGTGCGCGGTGCGTTTGTTGCTCGGGGGGTTTTTTGTTAACGTTATGGTGGCTTGATGTGTGGGCATGGTTGGGGTGGGGGAGAGGGTGGGGTTTTGGAGGGGAGGTCTTGAGGAGGGTTGGGGGAGGGAGAGGGTTGAGGGTTTGGGGAGGGAGAGGGTTTGGGGAGGGAGAGGGTTGAGGGTTTGGGGAGGGAGAGGGTTT